GTAATAAAGAAATAAACATCCGTGCCTTGGTCGGGATTCGAACCAGCGTTCGCTGGGCCCAACACGACACATCAACTCCCACGTGCTTGTGACGCTCCTCTGAAAAATAAAGCCTTCACCACCAACCCCCTTGTCGATACGCGAAAGGGCACTCGTCGTCAGCTGATGATGACGAGTCTACGAGAAACGATGAGTCAAAGTCAAAGACAGCTGAGTGACATTTCGCGCACTGACACAGATCAGCTGATCGGCTCACTCCAGAGACGGGAAAAACTGAGGCTGTCGACACACGACCAGCAGCGGCGTCATGATAATATTACCCCAACGTACAGCCAAGTTCTGGTCGCCTGAAGGAGCTCAGACATGCAAAGAGGGCCAAAGCCGAGGCCGAGGTCCAGAAATCAAAATCAATAAAAGTTTCTCGACAGATTTTAAACTCGTAACCCTTCATATTTTTAATGGAACATCCGAGAGATATTCATTTCAAAACGTTTCTGTTTAATTTTTTGAATCATAAATTTAAGAATTTTTAGAATATTTTCCAATTTTAAGCATCTGCGAAAAAAACTTCGTCTTTTGTGGGGATGGGGAGTAAATCTTGCGTTTCAAATGTTCCACATTCTTTAGAGATGCGGTCTAATTTAGTAAATAAAATTCTTGTGGAACTATTTTGAGCACATTCTGCGCATTTCGAACTTTCCCACTGTTCATTCCCTTTGATTTGTTAAGAAGATCTCTCACGCACACCGCAGAGCACGTCAGAATCCATGGACGGATTTTCAAGACACCTGATACACAGACATAAAACAAACACTGCCGGTTGTTATTCTGCATCGGCATTGCATTTTACAGCGAAATATTACCGAAACCGAGGAGCCTCCTTCCAAATCCCTGCCCCGCTACGAGCATTAACCTCGTTGGCGATCAGCTGATATCAAGGCGTCTCATCAAACGGTGGAATGACCTTGAGTGCTTGAATAATCCTGGGCGATGAACGCACACGAGGGCATGATGCACGGGTTGCATAACGCACGGCTACACGAAATTCAGACTCAGTTCTGCAAAGTGTGCTATTTCAAGAACTCATATATAAACAAACACACAACGCCCAAGTCCTGCAAGGTTCGGTCCAGCGACATCTTCCGACGGCAAAACCTCAGAACGAAATTCAAATCCTTTTGGTCTAAGGAACTGGCCTGTAAGAAATTACGGAAACACGGACACCCCCCCCCCCAAATAATAGGGCAACCCCACGTACCTACGACGACGAGAACTTCCGGGCTGACCACCGACTGCAAGGCATAATTTCCTTTTTAGATTTTACGATCCTGCATCGTGGGTTGAATTACAAGCTGTAGGAATAAGCACGAACCCTGGATCTGAGAGGAAGTTGAAGCGACTGCACTTGGGTTAGGTTAGTTTCGAACGAACGCGGAAACAACACAAAGATGGCGTGATGCATTCGAACGAGGGACGTAGTCAGAAGTTAGCCCACACTCCCCTATCACGGAGTGACGGACATATCGAGACAATTCTCCCTCCACGCACACCACGGATCCTATCGGACTCCTCCAAAAAGTTCTACGTCTCTGCAAAATGATGAATTTGATTATACACTTATTATTTGGTGTGCATTTGATTAAATAAATATGTCTTGAGAAAAAACATGTTCTCATGTGCAGTGTGCACTCAAATATGCAAGCCTTTTGCGCTAATTAAAGACCATTTCGACTACGGACCGTCCGCTTTTACCAAACATGTCGGGATTCACGTAAACAGCTGGCAGCGTACGTCCGGTTCCGCCCCTAAAAGTTCCCCGTATATAAACTAGGGGTTTACCATCACTTTGTGCACTCGCCGCGCTCTTACGTCACTGTAACGGTTCCATTAAATTACATTTCGTTTCGAAGAGAAATCTAAAAACAAAACATCACGAGAAATCACAACTTCCACTGCAGAACGTGGCCATGAATTCTTCCGACGCAGAACAAAGAAGTCGACGAAACAGTTCCATGTCCAGCAGACATTTCCTCTTGCACGCTACGTGTGGATGCACCGCTCTCCGACCCATTCATAGACCACTGACTTCTGTTTTCAATCCAAATACAGGGTGTGCCATAAGCCCTTAAACTCAATAAATTCTGAATGAAATGCAAACCGTAAATTGCACACCAGAAATAACTCTGTAGTTGCCAATCTAACACGTTTAAAATTTCTCCAAGGACTTTTGGCACACTCTGTATACCTCGCCAAGTGAACCAACGTGTCTTCGATTTGGAGTCCACACAAAATAATTTCCACGTATCTCGTCAGCTATTAATTACATCGAAAACACATCGGGT